GTAGGGTGCAAGAAGAAGAGCGGGAGAAGTTGGTGAGGCTGTCCTGGTATCAGGGATGTTAGGGGAAATGACTTATATAACAGGTGTTTCTCTCATAGTATAGCTCAAAGCTCTCAGGCCAGGTTTGGAGTGGAAGTAGGTTTGATCCCATGTCAGAGTTGCGTTTGAAGCAATGAGATAATCTTATGCGATTTCTCATTGGAAGAGAAGACATCTGAGGAGTGACTTCTAGAGTAAATGTTTAGATGCCAAATCCCCGTATTGAAAATCCTGTGTTTAGAGTCTCTCCTGTGTAATCTTTAGCCTCAGCCATCTTTGAACACATACAGGCTGGGTTCTCACCGACCCCAAATGTGTGTGGTGTTTCAGAAATCAGTGACTTTCCAGGATGTTGCCGTGGACTTCACTGAGAAGGAGTGGCCCTTGCTGGATTCTTCTCAGAGAAAACTGTACAAAGATGTGATGCTGGAGAACTATAGCAACCTTGCCTCAGTGGGTAAGGCTGGCAGCATTTCTTCATTTATTCGTTCATGAATGAAATGTTTTTGTTGTAAGTACTTGCTGTGACCCAGGAACTGTGTGGGGATTCGGAACACAGTTATGAACAAGCTGACCTGGTGCCTGCCTTGATGGTACCTTGGCTATTGAGACCTGTCCATTGCACTGCCCTTGGAGGTTGTCAAGTGTGTCTGAGCTTGGGCATAGCTTTCTGAGTTAAGACGTCCTCAACCCTGGCAGTCCAGTGGTTAGAACTCTGAGCTTTCACTGCCAAGGGCACGGGCTCAACCCCTGGTCGGAGAAGTAAGATCCTACAAGCCATGCGCCATGGCCAAAAAGAAAAAAAAAAATCCTCATTCTTTTGAAGGGCAAAATGTGTGGGTATTTGTGGTTTTGTGTTTTATGAAAGCATTTCACTGTGTTCCTTAGAAATGTGGCACCATCATTTTGCTGCTCCTAAGTCAGACTTGTCCATCTTCAGAGCACTGAAGACCAAAACACTGACCCCAGACTAATGGAAGGGGTTGTCCTCTGCACGATCCTCCCTCAACATGTGTCTTTCCCCGTGAGTAGGGTGTCAGGTGAGCAAACCCAGCCTCATCTCCCACTTGGAGCAAGAAGAGGAGCTGAGGACAGAGGAGCAGGAACTTCACCAAGGCCCTTGTCCCGGTAAGCACCAGGCAGACACAAGTGCTTTTGAGAATCTGCTCTCTCCAGTGATTGGGATAACAGAGATCCATGAGGAAATGTCACCCAGGGAAATCTGAAAATGCTCTTTCTCTTTCACTGTCCCTCCATCCTCTCACAATTCTTTTGGTCTCCATGTCCCTTCTTCTTTAAATTCGACATGTGTCCAAATGGATTCTTTGTCCCATTCTTTCCTACTCAACATTCCTGATCTCACTCTTAATGTCATTATCAATGTCATTCTTTGAAGAGGTGCTTCTTAGTGAGTCAGCTTAAATTTCTACCCTTGTCATTGCCAAATATCTCACATAACCAGATTTTTCAGTCATTTTTACTCATCTGTGTTCTCCCCTTTCATATTCCCTTTCCTTCTTTAGGGTTAATATTTGCAAAGAAAGCCACCTCTGTTTTTGTCACCATCATCCCACCATTTTCTTTCTCCAGCAAGTTAATATTTTCCCAATTTGTTTCAGATTGGGAGACTCCATCTAAAACCAAATGGTCAATTCTTATGGAAGATATTTTTGGGAAGGAAACATCTCATGGTGTGACAATGGTAAGATTTCCTTGGGATAATTCTGGATCTTCCATATTGGGAGAGGACAGGGGCAGCCTGAGTTAGAAAAGCAGCTCAAAACCAGGCAGGTCCCCAAGAGGAAACAGTGTCAGAGACACTGAATATTACCGATTTGGGGAAAACCCTAAAACCTGACCCTAAACCTCTTCACTTAAAGTTCCAGTGAGTAAATATTTCTATAACTGTGTCTCAGATGTTGAGTGTTGGGGCTTAATTGAGTTTTAAACAGTTAACAAAGTATATGCAAAAAGCTTTCTGAAAGTTATACACATGGAGCCTCAGAGCATAGCATTCACTTGTTTTCTTTGATGGAGTCCAAATGAGGCAGGAGCAGTACTTTTGCACTGAAAATTATGACATCATTAGTCATAATGATGCACTTCTATTTATGCCAGTTTATGTAGGGATAGTCTTAGGAATTTAATGAATATGGGAAATGCCTGAGTCAACCCTCCCTCTTCATCAACAGGAAAGCAGTCGGCTTGGAGAGAAATCCAGTGAATATGCTAACCTGTTTGACGTCTTCAGCATGGGTACTCATCTTACTCAGCAAATGGGAAGGCACACTAGCAAGAGGCCTTATCACCGCCGGGACTGTGGGGTGACTTTCAAGAACAGATCCCATGTAAACCAACATGTGAACATTTACAATGGGAGGAAAATGCATGAGTGTCATCAGTGCCAAAAAGCCTTCACCACGAGTGCTTCCCTTACACGGCACAGGAGAATACACACTGGGGAGAAACCCTATGAGTGCAATGCCTGTGGGAAAGCTTTCAATGACCCCTCAGCTCTTAGGAGTCATGCAAGAACTCACCTCACAGAGAAGCCCTTTGACTGCAGTCAGTGTGGAAATGCATTCCGAACCCTCTCCTCACTGAAGATACACATGAGAGTTCACACTGGGGAGAGACCTTACAAGTGTGATGAATGTGGGAAGGCATATGGCAGGAGCTGCCATCTCATTGCACACAGAAGAACACACACTGGAGAGAGACCCTATGAATGTCACGACTGTGGGAAAGCTTTCCAGCATCCCTCACATCTCAAAGAGCACGTCAGGAACCACACTGGAGAGAAACCCTACGAATGCACGCAGTGTGGAAAAGCCTTCCGATGGAAGTCCAACTTTAACTTGCACAAGAAGAACCACATGGTAGAGAAAACATACGAGTGTAAAGAGTGCGGGAAATCCTTTGGGGACCTCCTCTCACGGAGAAAACACATGAGAATTCACATTGTAAAGAAACCTGTTGAATGTAGACAGTGTGGGAAAGCCTTCAGAAACCAGTCCATCCTTAAGACACACATGAATTCCCACACTGGAGAGAAACCGTATGGGTGCGATCTCTGTGGGAAAGCCTTCAGTGCAAGTTCCAACCTAACTGCGCACAGAAAAATACACACTCAAGAGAGGCGCTACGAGTGTGCCGCCTGCGGTAAGGTCTTTGGTGATTATTTATCACGGAGGAGGCACATGAGCATCCATCTCGTAAAGAAGCATGTCGAATGCAGACAGTGTGGGAGAGCCTTCAGAAACCAGTCGACCCTTAAGACACACATGAGGAGTCACACAGGAGAGAAGCCTTACGAGTGTGATCACTGTGGGAAAGCCTTTAGCATCTGCTCGAACCTTAATGTGCACCGGAGAATACACACTGGGGAGAAGCCCTACGAGTGCCTGGTCTGCGGGAAAGCCTTCAGTGATCACTCGTCCCTCAGGAGTCACGTGAAGACGCACCGGGGAGAGAAGCTCTTCACATCATCAGTGTGGAAAAGGCTTCAGTGACACATCTCTTTAAAGAGAAACATGAGAGTGGAGACCTGGCAGGTGTAAGGAAGGCAGGAAGCCTTGATGAACTCATTTCACTGGGCACAAAAGAATATGTGTTAACTTGGGAGAAATCCAATTTGTGTAATAACTGTGGAAAGACTTGGGTTTTTCCACATCACTTTGGAGATAGTGTGAGAACTCAAGATAGTTGAGAAAACGTGTTTGTGGTGTGAAGAAGCCGTCAGTGTATGTTTAGCTCTCAACAAATGAGAACTTAGGAGGAGAAGCTCTAATCTGATGTTTAATGTCAAAATGACTTTAGCATCACCTTGTACCTCCTTGGCACAAGAGTAAGCCCACCAGGGAGGATCTCTGTAAATTCCAAGACTGGATGGACCTTTCCTGGTCTCACTGTATTCCTCATGCGAGAAATCACACTGAAGAGAAAAACCTATGAAATAAGGAACATGGGAAAGTCGGTAACGGGTGGGCAAACTGGCCAGCTGTCTGTTTTTGTACAGCTGGCAAGTTGAGACTATTTGTTGCATTTTTAAGGAGAAAAATATGTGCCAGAGACCATGTGTGCCCGACAAAGTCTAAAATACTGTTTGGCCCTTTACAGAAAAAAATTGCCAGTCCTTGGTCTACAGCAGTGGTTTCTCAACTGGGGATAACTTTGCTCCCCGGGAGACACTTGGCAATGTCTGGAGACATTTTTGGCTGTCAAAGCTGGGGAGGTGCCACTGGCATGTTTTGGGAAACATCGGGGATGCTGTTAAATATCCTGCAGTGGACAGGAGGCTTCCCCCAAGAGAGAGAAATTATGTGCCCCGAAATGTCAGTATTGTTGAGGTTGAGAAACCTTAGCCAACAATCCCTCCATTTTTTATGAAACATGTGGGTACTCGCACTAGGAGAAATTTCTATTTAAAACTTCAAAATTATAATCAGTGTAATTTTTTCAGGAAACACATGAGAACCCACACTGCAGACAATCCCTATGTGGAGATAATTTCATCCACAGCCCTGTCACTTGTGCATATGAGAATTCACTCCCCAGTGGGATTTCTTAGTAAATGTGGAATTGCACTTATCAGTCTTTCATCATGAAAGTGGATCCCAGCTTATGAATTTTTAAGTCTTTAACTTTAAGATTATGCTCTTTCAAATAACCCTTATACCTCATCACAGAAGGTTTGTATATAGTATTTTTACTAGAATTTCATTCTCGATATGTGTTTATTTCCTTTTGGACAACTTACTTGACCGATGGAATTTTTTAGAATAGTGTTACATGCTGTGTAACGTGTGGGTATTTTTAGTACCTGTTTGTTACAAGTATCTAATTCAAATGCAGTTGTGATCAGAGCAGGATGTCTTCATCAGATTGATCCTTTGGAATGTTTTTGGCCTCCCATCCAGCCAAGAGTAACATATAGTTGCTCCTTCAGTATCTCATATACTTTTTTTTTTTTTTTTTTTTTTTTTTTTTTTTTTTTTTTTTTTTTTTTTTTTTTGGCGGTACGCGGGCCTCTCACTGTTGTGGCCTCTCCCGCCGCGGAGCACAGGCTCCGGACACACAGGCTCAGCGGCCATGGCTCACGGGCCCAGCTGCTCCGCGGCATGTGGGATCTTCCCGGACCGGGGCACGACCCCGCGTCCCCTGCATCAGCAGGCAGACTCTCAACCACTGCGCCACCAGGGAAGCCCTCATATACTTTTATATCAAGAAAGTCCAAGTTTTGTCTGATTAGAAAGGTGTGCTATTTTTAAAAATCTCTTACAGGTTTTCCTGCAGCGAGTACAGTCCACGGCCACAGCCTGGCCATTGACAAATAAGCAGATATCACTGTATGGGCTGTAAAAAAGCTTTTGAAAAAGAGTCATTCTTGCCTAGATTCTTCTCTACATTTTTTTTTCCTTGCTCTTCTCATTACTTTTCACCTTGAAAAGAGATTCAGTATCTTGTGTTAAAGGTGCATCTTATGACTGTGAGGATGCAAGCCACAGGCTGAAGGGGGAGATAACCGCAGAAAAATCACAATGATCCTGGCTTCCCCCGTGGCTTCTTTTCGAGTGTCTGCAGTAGTCCTGCATTTGTTGTTTCCAGACTTCCTATTACATGAGAAAAAAGAAAACTGATTATTGGTTTAAGCTACTTTGGGTATTTGATTGTTTAATCTATTTAATAATTGTTTTATTGGTGGCAAGAGGGTTCCACTGTACCCAGCTGGATGCTATCTGTAACCCATACATCTGGTCATTAGTGAGGTTGGAGAGCTGCTACATGTGTGGGTATAATCTACTTATACTTTTAATTGTTGGATATGGGTTTTAAAAATCCTTAAACCATGTTTTTAAATTGTATTTCAAATCCCTGATGTACTTAAACATTACTTCTTGACTTGTGCTGAAATAAGTGTATTAGTTTTCACAAAAGCTCTAAGAAGTAGGTACCACCAGTAACTCCCTTTTGCATATGGGCAGTCTGAGGCAAGGAAGTTTAAGGGTGCTTGTGTGAGGTCAGCTCATTAACAAGTAGTAGTGTCTGTGTTTTGAGTCCATACTCTTTTATGTCAGGCCCTGTTTGGTGCCCTGAATCTATAGCAGTGAGTCAGGATTTTTGCCTTCATTGGTGATCACATTCTACTTGGGATTAAGGCACATGATAAACAAATGAGTAAATATATTGTATATCAGATGGTGGTCAGTTCAGTGCTGGGAAATTTAAGCATGGTGATGATGAGAGGGATGCGGGGGTTCAGTGGAACTATTGGATGGATAGTGAAAGCCTTTCGTTTAAGGGGACATTTGAGTAGAGATGTAAATTCACTGCCAGTGTGCACCATGTTGTAATGTGGGGAAGAGCACCCTCGGCAGTTCAAAGGTCATGAAAAAGAATTTTGCTTGGGACAGAGGGCCAGTGTGACTGGAGTCAGGCAAGCTTGGGAGTTGCAGAAGGTGTTGAGGTCAGAGCTGGATTGAGGTCCTGTTCACTGCAGCATCTTGTGGGTTAACTGGAAGGACTTTGCCTTTCTTTCTCAGTGTGGAAAGTCAGTGGAAGATTTTGGACAGAGAAGTGACAGCCATTCAATTTCTGTTTTTAGAGGAACATAGTGGCTTATGGGTTGATAGGCTAAATAGAGGGACAAGATGCAAACAGAAACCTGTTAGAAGGTCATTGCAAAGTTCAAGTTAAATGTAACAGGGTCCAGATTATTAGTAGTAGGAGTGTTTTGAGAGTCACGTTGAATGTGGCTGTAGTTTCTTTTGTATTTTCATCCCATAATTCGTTTAACTAGTGCTGATGTACAGTTAGTTGCTGGACTATTTCCACTTTTCCCAGTTAGGAACAATGCTGCTTTAAGAAATTGTGTACATGCCTTCTGGAGCATTGCTGAGTTATTCCAGGAGTGTGAAATTGCTGGGTTATAAAGTCTGCATGTTCATTTTATCTTAATGCCACAGTTGTTTCTGCAGTGTTTGTGTAATGATACCTGTGTGTTAACATTTAAAACAGGTTTTACTGAAATGCAAAGTGCTTATTAACTCATACATCTGTACAGCTAAATTATCACATGAACACATCTGTGTAAACAGGCAAGAAAAATGTTTTACTCTCATTCCTGATAACCCCTTCTCACTTCGTCCACATAACAAACCTTTCCTTACCCCTCACAAGTGACTAATATTCTAACTCTGACAACATGGCTTGGATTTTTGTTTTTGAACCCTATGCAAATGGAGCCACACAGTATACGTTCTTTAGTGTCTGTCTTAATTTGCCCAGTATTTTTGTGAGGACCTCTAGATAGTAATACATTTTATTGGGTTCCATTGTTTGAATATTCCATTTATTTAAGCAGTTTGTGTTGATGGAGGTTTGTCTTTTCAGCTTGGGGCTATTGTAAATAATGCTGCTGTGAGCATATTTTAGTATTTCTGATAGTGCATAAGTGCATATATTTCTCTTGGGTGTATACCCTGGACTGAAATCACTGGATCACATGGGCTGCATATTTCATAGATGATGCCAATTTTCCAAAGTGGTTGTACAAATTTCTTTTTCAACAGGCTATTTTATGGAGTTGGATCAGATGATACTAAAGTTGCCTGCCTTTTTCTTACTGATTTATATATTCCGGGTGTGGGCCCTATGGCTGGATACATTTTGCAAGTAATTTTTCCCACTCTGGCTTGTCTCTTCAGTGTTTTAATTGGTGTCTTCTGATGAAATGAGTTCTTAATTTTAATGTCACCTAATTTTTTTTTTTTGGCAACACAGGACTGAAAAGCCATTTTATTTCCACAGTTACATTCTTAGGATTAATAAAATTATTTTTGGAATTGATCTTGGAGGTAGGGAACCATAATATTAATAATACCTCACCATTTCCCACACAGACACAAAGCAAATGCACAACACAACACCAGACGTACCGAATGTCATCTAATCTTTATGGGCATCATTCTTCTGTTCCTGTGTAAGAAACATTTACCTATCCTGAAGGCAAGAAGATGTTTCACATTTTTTTCTATAGGTTTTATTGTTTTCATATACACATTTAGATCTACACCTTGGAATTGATTTTTTGTGTTATTGTGTGAGGGAGGATTAAGTTTTTTTTTTTCCGTATTAACCCAGCATCATTTATTTTAAAAGTACATCTTTACCCTAGGGGTTTTTCACCTTTGTCATATACTGAATTCCATACGTGTTGGGTCTAAATTTGGACTTTATTCTATTCTATTGGTCTGTTTGTTCACACACCATGCCACAGTGTTTAAATTATAAATCAGAGGCTTTATAATAAGTTTCAATGTCTGGATGGACTAGTTCCCCCTCATGGTTTTTCTTTTTAAGTGTTTTTCTAGGTATTCTTGTATGCATGTGTGTGTGCGGGGAGGGAGGTATACGTACTTGTCTATTATCTTGTCCAACTCCATAAAATTAGCTTGTTGGTATTTTTATTGGCATTGCCTTGAATTTATAAGTTAAAAATTAACTTGAGGGA